TATATGCAAAAAAGACAATCAATGATAAGTAAAGAAATTAGTAACTGGATACCTAACTATGTAAATAACATAATCTTACAATTTTATTAACAAGTCCATCAAGGATTTCTTCGAGGATGTGGCGATCAATTGTGGGAACTATAAGATTCTTGCACATTGAATTCATTAGAGAGGTCCTAGAATGCAGATTTGTCAATGTAATGATATTCATTAGAAGGAACCGTTATAGTGCGTGGACTTCTCGAGGAGTCAAGAGCAGGGATAGTAATCAAATCAATAGAATTAACATTCGATAAAAGAAATAACTTTGTCAATATCTTCCCTTTATTTCATGTCAAAAAATCAAGGGTAACAGAATCATAACATTTATCATTTTTTTTATGAATAGCCTAGTAAAATGCACATATTTTCTCTAGAATCAAGCTTGTCACGATAAGTTTCCAATAAATGCACAAAACATATGCAACCAAATATCTTAAGGTGAGACAAATTAAAGTCCAGCGCTCAGTTGAGTAAGCGATTAACAAGATAAGTAGCAGTAAGAACTTTATAGGAAATAAAATATTTTAGAACATTTATTTGAAGTATAATGGCTTAAGTTTTTTATTCTAGTAAACCAATGATTTTTATGTTCTATAATCCTCTTTTGTTGAGGTATGCCAACACAGTTAGTTTAATGTACTATGTCATTAGAACTCAAATATTATGTCATGTCATATCATTTATTTAGTGTAATTATCAGATCGAGGAATTTGAATAAGGGCTGAAAATTAAATAGTGACCAACATGTCAAAATCTTTAAAACAACTAAATATTTTTTCACTCTTAGTTTTCAATAAGTAAACCTAGGTAACCCTAAAGAAATCATTAGTAAAGATTACAATATAATTAAAACCATCAAGAGAAGTAGAAAAAGGACTACAAACATCTAAATATGCAAGTTCAAATGTATAGGTAGGTCGAGATAACAATAAAGTAAAAGAAGGTCTCGATGACTTGGAAAAAAAACTCATAATTGAGAGATTTCTTAATCAAAACCTAATTTATTTTGCTAAAAACAAACTCTAAAGGATGTGCTAGATGAAAATGCCATAAAAGACGTTTATGTAATGGAGTGAAAGAGTCTAAAAACCCTTAGAAACTCGAGAATCAGGGAAGAAATAATAAAGATCATGAAAATAAGATCATTAACTAGTCATCTTCTTAGTGACGAGATCTTGAAAGATAACCTTGTAAAGATTAAACATAACTTCACAATTTAAAGAAGATGTTAACTTATGGATAGAAAGCAACTACAATGAAAAAGAAGGAACATATATAACATCTTACCCTACTTTATCCGAAACAAGTTTCATTTTGCCCTTACCCTTTACAAGAGCACCCTTTCAATTAGCTATAGAGATAAGAGTAAGAATGAAAAATTGTTCAAGAGCATAAATGTTGATTAGTTTATTTAATATATGATCTGTGGCACTAAAATAATTAACTCAAAGATCATGCAAAATACTGAGTTCTAATACAGTCATAAAGGCAAGCATAATACCTTGGCTAGTTTCTAGATTTACATCAACTAAAAAACCAACAAAATAATTGAGAAGTGCTACAGGATGATCATATCCTTAACTGACAGCTTCATCTTGAATCTTTCCCTAGTCGTGCTTATCCTATAAATAGTTTGCAAAATCATTTAATAATGTAATAAGATAGAGTGAATTTTTCAATAGAATAAATAACCAAATGAGCTTTATGTTCAGTGACTTGTCTTTTATATTCCTTCTGATCCTATACAAGCTTGGGTTTTATTTATAAGTGAGGAAGTCAATAATGATCAATTATATTGCCAATATTATGACAATATTGGCACTTTAAATTTAGTCATTTGCACTTATAAGGTTTTGCTTCAGAAGATGGACGAGCAAGATAAACATGAACATCCGGGGTGTTAGGACTAATATTATGAGTCATAACTTTTTGGTGGATTTCTTCACGTTGAATAGTTGCACAAACACTTTTCAATGATGAAAATTCTGAATTTATCAAGATATGACTTCGCAAATCTTTAAAAACTAGGCTAAGAAGATCTAAAAAGTACAATCCTTTTCTATTCTTATATGCAAAATAAAAGCATCAATAGTATAGGGACGATTAATCTCCAGTGCACTTCAAAGACCTTTCAAACTTACCAATAACTATACAGACAACTTTCTATCTTGTTAGAGATTAGCGATATCATGATTGCTATTAACCAAAAGAGGTAATTGAATTCATTTAGCAACACTAAACTTAACCTTTAGGAAGTGTTGGCATCACCATCAGATACATTTGTCAGAGGAGGAACCACCTTTGAACCTTCATTTGCAATATATTTTGGGTTTATTTGAGAATATAGTTATACTTTTCAAAGTGTTTTTCATGTCAACATATATCAAAATAATGTTTTTTTTTATTTTAAAAAAATTATTTTTAAAATCAGTACATCGAAACAATCCCAAACATGCAAAAAAAATTAATTTTTAGCAAAAAATTTGAATTTTTTTGAAATGTAATTTGTACCGTGTTCTCAAACATTCTTCAACTTGTTATCTTCCATGACATAACAAAATGTAAATGGAGAGGAAAGGATCAGTGCTCTAATACCATGAAGAATTTAGAGATTAAACAATATTGTATCTCTTTCTCTCATGAATGATAAAAGTATATGTAAAAGAGAGGGGACAATATTCATGCTATTTCATTCCATAATGTTGGCTTAATTCATGCCTAGTCAATTATCAATCCTAAAAACGTCTTTACAAATTATCCTTAATTACCATCACTAATCTAGGCTACAAATAAGCTAATGGCAGTGAGATGTATACAAAGGATATTCTCCCATACTTGTTTCTGGCGCTGGATAATTTTGAGACACATAAAGTCTCATTATTACATTGGCAATGAAATGTTTTAAGCAATTCTCTTGTATGTCAAGTTTTTTGGTTATACTCCTTGAATTCAACTTGTAACAGTCTCATTCCCTTTTTCTTACAATTCTGGCTGTTGCAGTCTTCTTTCTCACTCTCTTTTCGATAGTTCAACTTTTCAGATTGTGCTATTTGTTTGATTTTGACACTTCATGATGGGATTTTGCTCTCCTTATCATGCATTTACATTGGGTTCTGCTATCTCTGAAATGGGATGTGGGCATCGGTGTTTGTTTCTTGGTGCCAAATAATAGCCAGTGTCATTCTCTGTTGATCAACTTTTAGCCTTAGGCTTTGATTTGCTAGGGAAGGCTCATTTCACACACACACACGCACACAAAATCCTGAACTGCTTACCTCATAAGATGTGCCTTAGTAATGTGCAGCCGCAGTGGTACGCTTCCCTTTTTTTCGGGTAATCATCTCTTTGGCTCTTATTTTCTCCTCCCATATCTCTAAAGATAACATCACAATATCATTTCATATCTCTTAACCTCTCTTTCTAGCTGCTAGCAGTATCTCATTTCTCTTTCTTCTCCTTTCTGTCTTGTTAATTTCTATGAAAGAGACTGGCTACCACCTAGAGCAAACCCTAGCCACAACTTTTATGCCTTCCTTCTCTCTCTTTTTTTCCCACCATTTTTTCATTGCGTTTTTGCATGCTCATTAATTAAAAGTTACATGCTAAAAACAAAAACCTTGGATGTGAAAACTGCTTGTGTTGACGCTGTGTGGTTCTGTAGCATAGGGATGGCTTACGGGTATAAGATCGGACCACATTAATTAGGACATCCATGGTCAACCATTGCTATCAAATGGCTCAAGTTTTAATTGGTCCAAGGTGATTGTTGAATCCCTTGTAGGACCACAAATGGGTCCTTCTGCTTGGAGTTTGACCAAGGGAGCGGATGGATAATGTTACAAATTTGGAGTTACTTAGGCCAACTAGCTAGTTTCAACAACTGGATAAAAAGAGCTCAAAAGCTATCTCCCACTTCCACCTTTTTGTTTCGAGGTTTTCTAATTTTGTAGACCCCATCTTCTTAAAGTTTTTATTGGTTGTCTGTCTATACCTTAGCAGCCTCTTTAATGGAGTTCGTTTTTTATGGGATATTGTGACGCCTATGCGGGGCTGTGGAAGGAAGCAAGTGAAAGCAAAGGATGGGTTATATTGAGATTTAGCCAGCTAGATTTCATTTATCAATTTAATTAACAGCAGGAATTTTGATATTGCAACTCTTTAGATTCTTCGAGGGTGATAATAGAATGTTTCTTTACACAGAAAAATCAATCCACTGACAAGACGTCAATCGAAGATAAACTAGCAGTAGTGGAAGAAACTAATTCACAGTGACATATCGTCGGTATTGTTAGGGAAAAGAAGGAAAAAAAGCATTATGTTTTCTTTTCTGAACGAAGCACTTCAAGTTCGAAAAGAAACGAAAGGAGCAAAATTAAAACAAAATCCAGCGAGCTCTAACCATTGATTTTGCCTACATGGTGCTGGTGGTAAACAGCTGGGGCGAAAAGGACTAGGACCTGACGGAAAGGTTATCTAATGCTGGGAGACAAAAACTGATTCTTCTATCATAAAGCATACGCTTCCTACTACCGTACCAAATGCTACTAACTAGCGTTGGATTAATAATCGAAGATCGAAACCCATAGACAGCTGCTCTTAAGTTGGAGGGTCATGCAACCATCGTAACCCATCGGCTCTGTGAGTGCCACAATCAGATGGCAGGCTTCCTTCTGAACCAGTCAGTACTCGCAGGCTGTTCATTTCTTCTTCTTCTGCTTCTTCTTTGGTTGAAACAATTTACAAACCTGGGTGGCCTTCTCTTCTTTGCAGCATGCAAGTCTATTTTGCGTTTAATATACCACTCTTTTTATGATACGTAGAAGAGTAACTGCGGGCCTGAGGCAATCTAGCCCGAAGTTCTCTTGAGAAGATCTACATCCCACCTTGCTTTCACTGTTTCCTCACTGTTGGAACAGAATGATTGGCTAAATGAATAGAAACAAAAAAAAAAAAACAAAAACAAAAAACAGCTCCGAAAAGCTAGCTATTACACACCTGTAATTATCATTTGCACCACACCTGAGAACACCCATCCATATCATTGTTTCTATTACAACTGTTTTGGTGCCTTCTAGTGGCTTAATTGAAACCTATACTTCAAATATGGATGCAAGTTTTAATATTAAGAAACTTGCAAATCATTAATGAGTTGATATCATGCATCAGGAAAAACAATCACAGTACAATTCTCTAGATCTTCCGCAAAAGATCATGAAAACAACTTAATCATCTCGCACTATAATGTGGTGGCGGTGCTTCTCTGATCAATCAACATACTGGCATCTCAATGAAGCAGCAATCCACATCACAAACAAGCAGCATCAAGCTAGTTGATCCAATCAATCAATACCGAGCCATGTATCAAGCTATGCAGATCCAATCAGGCTCTTAACCAAAACCAGACCTTCAAAGGATTCCAGCAACAAAAATATTGTCGCAGCAACGCCTTCAACCTTAGGACTCGCTAGTAAATAATTGACTCAATAGTTATCTCTATTCCATTGTAAACACCCATGTAAATATTTGCTTTAAACAGGAATAAGACTGGTTAATGAACTCCACAGAACTCTCAGACACTGAAATGAACCTCAACTTCCATATCTGACTCTCACACAATACTCAAATATGCGAGCTATTAAATCAAAGATGTCCAAATCTGGAAGATACAATTCAGCCAGCGGAAGGGTTGGACCTCATCCATCAGCTCTGCCCATATTCCCCTTAGTCCTCCACTGACTTGCAGCTGGCCATCGATTCCGACTTGAGTAACGAGATTCTGATTGGGAACCATCCTCAGGGTATCTCCTCCCTTCCGCCTGACCCTCTTTACCATATGGCCGCCGTTTCACATAAGGCTCTGATTTAGGAGAATTTGACTTCCTTGTTTTATCCAGTTCATATGATAATGGCTGAATTCCCTGCAAATCAGGTTCTGGAACAAAACCTATAGGACGTTTTGCTTCATCCATTTTTCTAAATGTGATTGATATCCTATGACAAATGCAGGGAGGGAAAGGAAGCAAATTATCTATCCATAAAATAAACAAATGAACAACTCAAGAAGATCTAAAAGTTGTTACATCAAATTAGCAATAACAAGATCTCAAAAAGATTCAATGGCTACCTCTTTGTTGGAACTGATGGCACACAATGCTTAGCCACATCGGCTCCATTTCCATTTAAGACAAGAACAGATCTGGAAAAAAAAATGACTAAGATTCTGGTTCCAAGACAACAAATGTGGAGTATAATCAAATACCAGGATGATAATTACAAGATCATGCACAAGATATTATGAGGAAAAAGAAAAGGGCAAAATTGATATGCCTGCAAGGAATTCACGTAAAGGATTGCACATTAAGACTTACCCCACAGGAAGAGGGATGGCAATTGGACCATCAAAGTCACCTGCACCCACAACCTTTAAGTTTGATCCAAATAGTATATTGCACTGGCTAAGAAATGACACAGTACAGAAAGGTCGAACAAAATCATGGCTGTCAATATGAGGTGGTATGCAGTCCCATTCTTCATAAATGTTAACAATACAACTGTCGGGCACACAAGTCGGAGGGATAACATGCCATTGGACCAGCCTTCTAATGATCACTTTAAAAAGGTCAGGTATAGGATCTACCATTTCATCCTGGAGGATGCCTGGGGGATTACCATTTTTATCCTGCCACCATAATGTACTTTAAGTTTTAACATTTGTGCAAGGCATAGTATTAAAAATTTTGAATCGCTATAAATCAGAATGTTGATGATATGTAGCAAAGGGATCAGAACTTACAATTGCGTAATTGTAACAACAACCAAACTGGAGGGTCACACGCCCTTTGCCCTTCATCCACTTTTGTGGAGCTGAATATGTGCGCTCTGCAAGAAAAAATCAGAACAATGATATGTCAAATAATTTAACATTTTCCAGAATATATATTTTACGGATATCAACTCACAAATTGATGTAAAGGGAAGCTTTTAGATTTAAATTCATACCTCTACTGATGAAAGCACATCTAACAAATCAGTAGACTCATGTGAAAAACAGCTAAAGCACTATTTACAATCAGTGAATGTATTATGGACTCACTCACATCCATGCCATTGGAAGTGGAATATAAAATTCCAAAAAAATTACTAATCAACACTGAAGGTGAGTTTTGAAAGCAGTCTGCAAATCATCATGGGTATCAAGTTGACAGTACAAAAAGAATGTCAATGACAAAGCGTGACCAACTTATCTCAAGCAGCGGACCATAATACATTCTCATATAGGTGATACAGAATAAGTTGAGATCTGCATTCATTAATTCCAACGTTTTATTCTTTCAGAAACAGGACAGTCTATTGTTTTAGGTATTTATGAAACAATCTTAAATTTATTGGCATATGAAGCTATGAAGCACAAAAGGCAAGACTTGTGACCAACATGGAACCATAAACAGCAAAAACCAGAGAATGTTAAGCATTTCCACTTGAGAACATATACCCACAACCAAAAGTGGCTTTTAGAATTCTGTCTTATGTTAATGAAAGAGTGAGATATTGTATATCAAGGGTTTTTATTATTTTTTATTTTTTATTACACTAGATGCTTTTAGGCAGTCAGTATCTATTAGTCAATTGTCACCATGGAACATGTAGAATGTTATATTTAGTGCTTGTATGCTATATTGATCTTTGACGGTGCCGGGAAAAATGAGCAATATTAGCTTTCACTTTGCTTTTAAGAATGCATATTATCAAGAATAGCATAAATACGAGACTACATGTATTCTAGGAAGCTCAGTTCCTCAAACACACCAAACCAGTATGCAATGCATTTAAGTACAAAATATAACCGAGCAAAGAGAATAATTCTGATTGACCAACATATCCTCTTATAAGTAAAAAGCTCATTAACAGATCAAATAGAATAACATGTGAAAACAACCATTTATGAAGCCAACCTTTCAACTCTCCCTTTTTCCCTTTCTCTTGAAATGCATAAACATAATCAACAATCCTCTTCTGCTCCGCAGCACTGAAAATACCCGTATGAAGCTCCAGGCCCTGGAGAATATTAGTAAGCTTTCCATTAATCTTCTCAAAACACATAAAGTCCTTCTTCCTCTTCACATTCATAAACCGAATGTATTCCCTTTGCTCCCTTGGTAATGTAGTAGGCTTCCCAACAACCTTTGTTATCCTCAACCCACCAGTTGAATCATTCACATTAACCATCCGTGCATTTAACTCCTGCTGTTCTTGTTCCTCTTCTTCCACAAGCTCATCTTCCTGAGCCATATCAGCCCAAGACATCCCCAAGCGCCATTCACTATGAACTCCACTACTGGAGGCCTCTGAAACAGGTGGCTCAGACCACCCATTTATCCCGTCTTTCCAACTACCTAAGGAATTCGTGTCATCATCCTCTTTCAAACTTCCCACAGAATTATCTTTACAATTACCATCAGAACCACAATTCCCGTTTGACGATTCCACATTAATATTCTTCGGCAAATCCCCACTCTTATCTTCTCCTTGGAGTTCTACAATAATTACCAGACATGCGAAAACCCAAACTCTCAAAATCATTTAACAGTAACAATTCAAAAAATAACCCTGAACTTCAACAAAAATTAGCACAAATAACAGTAACACAAACAAATACTAGTTCTCAAAAAAAAAAAACCTAGCTTTTCAGGAATAATCAAACTAAGTGATGGTATATTTATTTTTTAAAAAAATAAAAATTGGTTATCAAGGTAATAAACAAGAACAAGAAAGGTTAATTCGGGAAGAAAAAAATTGTGGAAACCTGAGAGAGAGCGAATGCGATCGGAGAGGGTTTTGGAGCAGTTATGACAGAGATCCCGAGAGAGGTATGGGAGCCACGTGGAAAGAAACTCCGATGCGATATTAAGATCGGAAGGTTGATACTGAACGAGGAACCGGTCATCTTTATCCGATTTATTGAGTTCGGTCATGGCTGCCTGAGATAGTCACTCTGGGAGGGGGAAAGGTTGGGAGAGAGAGAGAGATATGACTCGAAGCACGAAGTTTGTGTGGGCAGTGATAAAAGGAGTGTGCGTGTATGGTGGGTAGTAATGTGAAATTGAGTGTTTATTTGGGGCATTTTTGGAAATGTGGATGTTGGTGAGGATGTGTGATGGAATTATTATTCTTGTTATTATTATTAATACGGTGAAGGGATCACAAGAGGGTATAATTCGTATGATAAAAATAAGTTGAAAAAAGAAATGTTTTGAGTTTATACTGAGATGTGATAAGATTTTATTATATTTTTTTAATTATTATAAAAAAACCATATATTATATTGTTTCTCATAAATATTATTAATAAAATATCTATATAAAAAACATAATGATTTTGTGTATCTTATTATTTAACTCAAATCATTATCTTGAATGTTTTTTAAAGTGCTTTTTATTTATTAATGTATTAAAATAATATTTTTGATTTTTAAAAAATTATTTTTACACTAATACATTAAAATGATCTAAAAATATCAAAAAAATATTAATTTAAAATAAAAAATTAAATTTTTTTTAAATATTTTTAAAATAAAAAACAAACAATGTTTTCAGGAACAAACTCAAAACAATGGTTTTAATAAATTGTGTTAATAAAAATTAATTTTTCTATCTCTAATGGTGCCAAAATTTCTCCTTAATATGTAAAATTGCTAGACAATACTTTTACAATTTGACTTTCTAGTTTTTCTTCTTTTTTTTAATAAAATTTAAGTTGGGCCTAATCATGTACATCCAATAATAAAATAAATCTAAAAAGTTCTAAAACGTTTAACAATGGTAGAGACTCCATGGGAGAAAAACCAACTATAAAGCTTTAGTTTAATTAAAGATTACTCAACTCAAAATTATAGAAGATATAAACAAACAATTTGCATGATGATTGTTAGCTTTTAAAAGATAGAAAACATTTAGGTGTTTCTTGTCGGTTCTGTTCTTTCGGTTTCTTTTATTTCACTATTATTAACAAAACAAAAGATAAAACATGGTATTAAAACAGTTAAAAACAAAATAAATTAGAATTCAAAGGAAAATAAAAAAAAAATCAAACTAAAAAGGGCTTTGGAAACCCTAGATGCCGTATATAATCTTTTTATTATCAAGAGAGAACAATCTTTCTTATTTTTCAAATACCAAAGCTCTCTTGAAAAATAAATTGATAATCCAATTTATACTAGATCTATACCTCATCCCTAATCTTTTTAGAGTTAATATAGAATTCAATTATCATTATTTTTTCCAAATAAATATAAGAAAAGAATATAAATAATTAAAAAAATAGTTATTTAAAAAAAATCATATGTCGGTCTTTTCAAATTAAAATTGTTTTTATCTTGATTTTGTAGATATTCAATCAATAGCTACCAAGAAACTGAATACTCATTGTTTTAATAACAACAATTGACACTCTTTTTCATTTGAATATTGAATGTAAGAGATGGTAACTTGATTAAAGATTCCAAACTTTTTGTATTTTCTTAAAGTATTATGCATAGGTTGAACATGCTTCAAGGCATGCAAAATGAAAATAAAAGCTTGAAGAGGTCATTGAAATATGTGGTCATAGATAATGAATTTCAAAGAAAATATTTAATGGATATTATTTTTTTTAGTGATATTGAATCTTTATTTAATGATATTAAAGTCTTATAAAATATAAAAAAAATAAGAAAAGAACTTTGGCATTAGTTAAGAATAATCATTTAACAAGTACTGCTTAAATTTACATCTTATTTATGATTACATAATGTTTTTTTATATATATGAAATTGAGGGTATTAGGAGCAAAATGTGATTTTGGTAAAAGTTGAAAGTCAAGCATTTAATATGCAAACCCAATTCTCTTAAACTTTTAACCTTAACTCAGTAACTTGACAAATAATGAAAACAATTTTTTTTAATTTTTTTTATTTATATCAAATTCATTTATTATCAACACAATTTCTTTCTAATTTCTTTTTGTTCAGTTAACATTCTCAAACCAAGATGACCTATATCCAACCTAATTAAACAATATTATTAATAATTGATTCATCAATGATGTTTAAAGTCAGAACTATAACAATAAACATTCTATAAATTAAAAAAAATATAATACATTATAATAATTGATAATAAATATATTAAGTACAAAATGATATTTTGCATCTAAAATCAATTCATATCCTTTTTAATCTAAAACATCCTCATCTTCATTTTTAACATTTCCATATCCATCATAATATTCTTGGTTAAACTAAAGTTTTTTTTATCTCTTCATCTTCATCCACTTATATTTGTCCACTAGTACCCAACATATACTTTAACTCATGGACATCAATATGAACATAAATATTCTTAGTGACATGGAAATCTAAATTTTCTTCTGATTCGATAGGTGAAGTAACTTGATATAGATCAACTAACTCATCAAGTTAAAATACATCATCTCCCTTGGTTACATCATCATTGTCATCTTTAACAATTTGTACATGACTTCTAAATTTGATTTTCATAATAGATAACCAATTAACTTTAATGCGATCCTTTTTAATATTAGAAGTGTTTGTGCAATACACTTATTAGAATTATTTGGAAAATATGAAAAACATTATTAATGTTGCTAAGTTTACCTCTTTTATTAATTTTAACCAAATCATGACGATGATTCAATTTAATTCCTTTACCTTTATCGATAATATAGCAATAGTATTTGAATCAAAAGATTGTATTTTGCACCCTATGATATTGCAATTCAATTATATCTTCTAACTTGCCATAATAATCAACTTCAAACTCATTGAAAGTTGATCACTTAACATAAACCCTACTATTATTAGTATTTCTACCATCTTCATACTCTTCAAAATGAAAAACATATCTATTGATGAAATATATGTTATAACATTAGACCTTTCTTTTAGGACCCAAATATAGTAACTTTAAACTTGCAGCATTGTCTTCCATATTGTATATTTAATTAAAGATAATAACCATTAACTATCAACAAAAAAAAAATTAAGTAAATATATTCTAATTAGAGTTATAAATTATTACATACGTACTTATGTTTTAAACCATGTAATGAATTGTTGATTTTATGATCGAAGGAATTAAGCTTCTATAAGATATGGATTTGAAATAAAAAAATTGATGATGTCACCTATAAGAAAGAATTTATAATAAGTGAAAATATAAGAGGAAATAATTTATGACTATAAAATTATAAAATTAACTTACTAAACAAAATTTCTTAATTCATCGCAGTTACATAGCACATCATTATGCACTTATCTAAATTTGATGTCTCTTAAATATCTTCTTGAAACTATATTTTTTTCACACTGGTAATTGAGAATGAGAAAATATTGATAAATCCTTGTTAAAAGATATTTCACCATCATCATCATATCTTATAATGTGATTGATTATAGTTTTTATATGAAATTTAAAATAATATGAGATAAATATTGAATTTTTTTTAATAATATAAGTCTTGCATATTAAAGCCTCAATAAATATCTTATTCTTAACATTTTTTTTTTTAAGGTTAAACAAGTATTTGCATGAAAGTAAATATAAATTGAATGATTGAATTTTTATAAAAGCACACTAAACACTTAGGATGTATGGAATATTTATTTGAATAAATACATCTATTTGTATTGAATATGGCCTTTAACTTTTTCTCCATACATTAAATATACAAGCAAATGCTCTATTGAGTTGAAGAAGAATAAAAAGAAAATCATTTTAAATTTGCATAGTATCTTAACAATATTCATTTTAAGCTGCTTCAAGTATTGAAAATACAACTTGTTAAAGTAAACTTCTAAAAAAAAAGTATTAATCTCTGTAAATATATCTAATATCTCTTTTAATAATAAATCTTTATACACAAATAAAATGAGTGTTTGTATAAACATATGAATTTAAGAATTTTAATTCTATACATTTTACATTCCTTTAAATTCATCAATCTAGTTATGTTTGAAATATATCCATTAGAAAATAAAGACTTTTAAGTCATTAAAAAATTATGCTTTTTTACTTGAGAAAAATATTGTTTTGGACTTTGTAACATATACCCCATCATTAAATAGATTCATATTTTGATGATCACAAAAAAATGCTATATCCATATAGGTATGATTTTGATCACCTGGAATTAAAATATTTGATTTTATTAAAATATATAACTTGATACCACTCTATTTAAAATATTCTTATAACAGATAAGATAATCTTTTGATTCTTTCCTTAAATTTGATATGTGATGACTTGATTTATTTGTGAAATTAAATTAAGATTTGAGTTTTGCAAAAATACAATTTTAAACATGAATTAGAAAGCAAGATTTTATACTTTGAAAGAATACTTTTAATTTGTATTTAAAGTGTTATTAAAAAACTCTTATAGAATGTTAGGATTAATTTAACAAAGTTTTATTTTTTATAGATTTTAAATATAAATAAAGAAAGCTTAGAAGCTTTTTTATTTGAAGAGTTTTTCTTGAAAAAAATTTATATCTTCAAAAAGTTTTTATTTTTTCTTTATATAGGGTTAGGCTACCTATTTATATAAGTTTATAAGAGCTCTTAGATTTTTTTTAATGTTATATAATATTATTTCATTAGTTAATTTTTATTAATAAAATCTTGTATTTATAAAAAAATATTTTAAATATTTTCTATCAATAATTACTTTAGATTTTCCCGATGGAATATTTATGTTGATATTCTCGTTGGAAATGTCTAATGTGGTTAAATATTCCATAGCTATATGACAATTTTCAAATAATAAAAGCGAATCTCGAGGTAAGAACCCTAATCATGCCACTAAAATAGCATCAAAAGATGATTTGTTTTTTCTCTAAAAAGTAGGGCCAGTGAGGTTGTTTTTGACTTTTATAATCATGTGAACTCTACTATATATATTTTAATTAACATTAGTTGTCATCTGACTTTTAATTAATGTTAATTAATAATAATAAATTATATAATTTTCATGGTAACATATGTGATATTTTCTTTTTAATTCAGGAATTTATTAATTAGTTTTCATGTGACATTTAATATTATTCTCTTAAGATTAGTTGTCATGGGTGTTTTGTACGAACATGTGTGCCCGTCTAACAGGCATGCTAATTGGAGCATTTTTTTCAAAATAATTTAGTTTTCCAACTCCATCTACTTTTATAGTATAGAATTGATATAAAAACTTAAAAATATTATTATATAAAAAAAGATTTATATATAATAATATCATTGATTTTATTTATAAATTTTCTTTTTATTTATTTTTAGCAAAATATAATAATAAATAAAGTAATAAATGGACTTAGACAATGTCCCAAGTCCACTCCTTGCATTTTGGGTTTGCGAGTATATTAATCTATTAGAATTAGTTGCCATTGCTTTCTCTCCACGAATTAGAGTTGACTTTTATTAGTATAAATTCAAGACGTGTTGCTATACCAATATATATGTCTTAGCAATCTCCTTGTTTGGAGCGCAAAGGTCCTTCAAGCATAGTCTCTGGAGTTTTCGTTCCTTGAATCTTAATTTTCTTGTTCCAGCTCTAATTCTGTTGATTTTCTGCTTCTTCTTCCCTCCCGCTAAACCTTAATTGTGTTAGGGGCAGAGATGGCTCTTTCATTAAGACGTTATGCGCGGCCATCCCACCACGACTTGGATGATTTAAATTGCATTTTAAGAGAGAGGTGAGATTTTTTTTATCTTTTACTTGGATCTATCATATTTGAACTAAATCTTTTCTTGTGCAATTCTTCACGTTTATGGTTAGATGAGCCCATGGGTTTCTTTTCTGTGATTTTGCAGAAGCCAAAAGGAACGAGAGATGTCAATAGCAATGGAAACCATGAGAGGAGATCCTTTGCCTGAAGATGTGATCATTGAGATTTTATCACGTTTGCCAGTGAAAAATCTACTGCAGTTCAAGTGTGTGTGCAAATCATGGCACGCTATTATCACAAGCCCTAAATTGATATCCAAGCATCTGAGAAATTACTATGACAAAAATGACAGTGACTGTCTCCTAGCTCAGTACCGCATAACCCTAGCGGGAGAAATTGCTTCGTTTGAGTTGTTGGTTGATGAAACACCAACAAGAGCTTTATCGCATGGATTACTGGATCGCATGCCTTTTCAAAGTCCATATATCTATGGTCCTTGTGATGGAATATTTTACATGTACGGGCATTTTTATGACTTTCATGCTCTGTGGAACCCCGCAATTAATGAATTGAAAACTTTACCTCCGATACCCAATCCTCCATTCAGTTTTTCTTATGGCCCTGTGTGCAATGTGTATGGTTTTCGATTACATCCGGTAACTAAGGATTACGAGGTTATTGTCATGAGAGAGTTTTGGAGAGAAGAGGGAGCATGGGGAGACAGGTATCCTTTAAGTGTATTCGTCTACACGTTAAGCAGTGATTCTTGGAGATACTGGGGGGACTTGTCACGTTATTATCATTTACGTAATAACCTATGCTACATTTGTGTGAAAGGAGTATTCTACTGGCTGGGATCATATGGAGCATGCGGAGATCCCGAAGTGATCATTAATTTTGACTTGGCTACGAACGTGTGCCAAGAGATACAGCTACCAGATTATGACAAGTCAATAAAGTCTGTGAGTCTTGCAGTGTACAATGACTCCATCGCTCTCCTCGTCGTTCAAAAGGGATCAGTTCTTCATGTATGGACATTGGACGAGAGGTGTTGGACCCAGAAATTTGTTGTCGGGCCTCTTTTGGGAGTTCAGTATCCAGTTGGGCATTGGCAGAACAACACGATAATCTTGATATCCGACTCTGATGAATTACTCTTATGCGATCCCAGAACCCAGGAAATAAGTGGTCTTGGATTTGAGGGGAGCGCAATGCGGTGTGTGGGAATTTTTGCTTACAAGGAGAGCCTAGTTCCAGTGAAGAATGGACATGAGGAAGCTGAGACAATATCTGATTGTCGAATCATTTGTTCACCAGCTTTCAATCGTAACGTCGCAAGCAATGAGAAGTCTTTTCTCATGGATCCAGATTACGTAGAGGCTCTAAAATTATTTGATTAACGTTGTATGTATTGCGCTATCATAATTAAATCCTTTTACCTCTTCTGAAAATGGATTTTAATTCTTTCTTATTGTCTATCTTTTCTAGAAAATTTTAAAAAAAAAAATTGACTCAAGGGAGCCAAAAGGTAGGGTTACACGCAAGTTTTATCCAAATATAATGGAGCAATATGCTCTTCTTTGTGCTTGTATAATAATACTAATAAAAGAATGCATTCTATGTTGTTGTTCATTGTTTGGGAAATTTTCCTACTTGTGTTGATCTGAGATTAATTTATAGTGTTATGATTTTTTGAACGAGCTGCTTCAGATTGGGTGTTACCTGCTAGTCTGCTACATCTTTCACCCAATTAATCTACGAGATGCCGACTAGCTACTTAGTAATTGTCCTCGAAAATCCTCATCACTTGCCGTCATAATTTTTATTTATTTTCTGTATTACCTTTTAATTTGATATACTTTTAGATGAAAAATAATTTAAAATAAAAAAATAAAATCTAAAGCTTCGATAATAATCCCCTCAATACTAATAAAAAGAGTTTTATAAAATAAATTCATATGAATATAAAAAAAAAGGTTATCAATAGTACTCAGCTTAAGCCACACGTGATGTTTTTTTCAGTTTTTTCTCTCATTTTTTCTAAAATTAAGATGTTTTACTTTTCAAATGAGAGGTTTAAACTATGCTAAAGTATGGGGTTGGGTTGATAAATTGTGGCTAAGATATAAGAATATGAACTGATTGTGAATATTAATTTGAAATTTTGATATATATGGAGATTTAAAATTTTAATTAGTGTGTGAACATTAATTGTACTGTTTTTTAATATCAATATGTAATGTATATGTATATGTATATACATGATATAATTGACCACAATGACAATAATACATGTGTAATTTGTAAATCAACCATAAGGAGGAAATATATGCGTGTGATTTGTAGTTAACTACAACGTTGGTAATTTACATGTGAAATTTAAATTAAAAATACCGATGGATATTATATGTATATCATAATTAACTATCATGATAAAAAATTATGTGTGAATTTTAAATTAATCACAATTTTAAATTTGATAAGATGTTTTATGAGCCAGCTATATAAGTGAGGGCTGTTAATTAATAAATGTTATTGATTTAAAAAATATTTAATCAATCACATGAGTGGAAGCTATAAATCTTAAAAGAGATTGGGTTAATACTTATTTGGAATTAATGGAAAATATGTACAAGGAAGACATAATATTAAAATAAATAGAATGAATGGAATATAACTATTTTGAGAATGAAAATAGATAAACGAGCAAAATTGAGCCAAGAAATCATTAAGGTTGAAATATATATAAATGAATATAAGTGTAAAGTATATAAGATTGAAAGACATTATAAAGATTTAAGTTGCGTGTAATTTTTTCAGAAGCTTCTTAAAAAAAAAAAAAGAGTATTTGTTGTGTTTGTGTTCTTGGCTTATTTTATGGTTTATATTTAATTTGATGTAAAAGAATTAACATGACCCGTCATATATAAATGACTCTTTTCAGTGTATTTTAGATAAAATAAGTTAAAGCTTATGATTTGTCATCTATAAGATCCCACACCTGTTTTTAAAAAATAAATAAATTCAAAATATTTTATTAGACATCCATTACTAAGCTATTATTTTGAGAATTAATGGGGATTAACATATCCTTTTGATTTCTCAAGCAATAAAACATTAAATATTATATCATGTCATACGTAAAATAACCCTATAGGTTAATGTTTAAATAATAAAAAACAAGAGTGTGACAATTTTACTTGTCACATTTTGTGATCGTATTAAAGTTTATTTTATTAAGATTTTTTTCTTAAATAATTTTTAGAATTTGAATCAGGTTTAATGAATTTATCAAACCTAATAAACTAACCTATTGATATGATTGATAAAAACTAATGGTTATAATTAAAAGAGTTTAATTTTAAAATTGTCAATTGTATTATTTAATGGTAATAATTGAAGATAACAAAAATAAATTAAATATTAAAATAACTAGTTTCAACCTTCCGACCCAGAATTTAATTTATCGCAGCTAATCCGAGCATAATTGATAATTTGATAGTAAAAGATTAGTATTGAAAGCGATTTTGAGAATCCAGAGAGAGAGAGAGCGAAAGCGATGTGGATGCTTACACTAACACACACCAACCACAGATAAAAGGGATAAGCTTTAGACAGCCTGCCGTTGCCAGGAAGCATAGCAATGGAGACCAATATCCTTCCATTCCTTCCTTCAAAATCACCTCCAATAACCATCCCCATCCACTCAAACCTTTCAATACTAACACCACCACCAGCAACAACCAGAATACAGAATCAGCTTTGCTTCCTTCGCCGGCAACGATCTTTGAGGCTTAATGCAACCAACAGCACCAGCAGTGATGAGACACCACCAGCAGCTCAACCACCGACCATCACTCCACCAGACACAGTGGAAATCAGGTTTAAAAGAGGGTCAAGGAGGCGAACCAGAATGCAGAAAGGGGATGGTGGTGTTGGCGTTTCACAACCTGTAAAGGCGCAAGCTTCAGCCCCGAAGAAGTGGGAAGATATGAGCCTTTCAGAAAAGGCTATTGAACTCTACGTGGGAGAGAAGGGTATGCTGTTTTGGCTCAACAAATTTGCTTATGCTTCCATTTTCATTGTGATTGGAGGTTGGATACTTTTCCGGTTTGTAGGGCCTTCTCTCAATCTTTACCAGTTGGACACCGCTCCTCTTTCCCCTTCCTCCATACTCAAGGGCTCATAATCAAGATACCATTCCATGAACGAAAAGCGGGAGTGCTCCTTTTGCTCTGGTTTGTAGAGGTTCTTTTGTTGTGAATCGAATATGTAATCAGTAATCACATTACATTAATAAAGCATAAATTTACTCCATCCAGTTTCAACAAGTTTGCTTATGCTTCGTTTCAAAGTTCCCAAAAAAGTCTCAACCCTAAGAACAGAGCAGGTTGATGGAAGGAAGGAAAAATTAAGTGCTTCAACATAATAGCATTAGACGAGGAAAGTTACCATTTATAAGAACCAATACGCAAACCAACAAATGATACTTTATTACTTCAGTTGTGCAAACAAGCTTTGAATATGGAATGGTACAAAAACACTCACACAATACTGCTATAAAATAAGAACAATCATGCTTGCGTTATTTGTCCTTCAAATATCACATCCGCTAATTTCTACAGTGTCTAACGTATGCCTATACGACTTGCATTTTTCTATGACCAGACGTCGCACAAAACTGGAATAGAACATACAAAGGACATTGCAAGCTACAACAGTCTAAATCCTCGACAAATTTGCAGTTACACAACATTGACTGGCTGGGGAACCGGCTGAGCTACCACATCTCTTTGCGTCTTACACCTGCAAAACAAAAGAGAGATTTAGCCGAAATATAATGATATAAATACTTAGGGGGAAAACCATTAAGACTGCCAAAGGGGCCTTCGGTGAAAATTTCAAACACTAGTTCTTTCAAAAACAATAGGCAAAATATTGGAAAATATAATTGACAGTTCAGCCCAATATTTCCCCTTGCACAGGGAGAAAGAATTTCTGGCTAATTGAGTGAATTATTACGGAAGCAAGCATTCAAATTTCTTGAAATAAACTGCCACAATCAACAAGTAAACACGAGTTACAATGAAGCCACTGAGCAAATAAGATGGTTTGCGTGCAAACAGATGGTCGGTCAATGGAGATGGGATGAGGGTTGACTGGGATAATGAAAATACCAAAATTCCTGTCTCTCACAAAGTAGAAAATGCAAAAGTGCAATGTAACTTGGAAAAATGAATTAGCATGAGAACATTCAACAGCCCCAGGACCATAAAAATACATGTAAACTTGCAAAAATGCAATGAGAAAGCAATTTAACTTGGAAGCAACAACAATACCTTATTTGCCTAAAGAGGCATGTGAAATAAAATCAAAGTTTGAAAGTTTTGTTCAAAAACAGAATTACTTCATGAAACTATGAAAGAAAATGCTTCACAACTGTTCTTTGTTATCACCAAGAAGAGTTGCCTAGCCTTGAAAACAGTACAAAACCAAAAAGAAGTAAGAAGAGGACAACAAAAATGAATTACACATAGAACTATGAATTATGTCTGCCTGATAGGCCACCACGATATGATAAATAATAGCCGAAACAATGAGGCCCAAGGTATCATCCCAGGTTCCTGACCTAGTGAGCAACTATGCAATTCATTACAACCAGATTTCACTATCATCTGGAGATTGAAATTCATTAACATCAGAGAATGGTTTCACACAAGATTGAATGCAAGTTTTTCAGTAGGTGGTAAAATATGATATCATTACAAAAGCAACTAGATGATGTCCATGGGCATCAGTTCAACATAAAGTTTGCTAGGTCGCATTGTAGAACTACATAATACACTTCCGTTGCTAACCTGTTGCACTGTGCACGAGAAGCATAGTTGTGATTGTTGCAATTTGCACACATCCAATCTCCATTACGCCATTGCTTGGCTCTGCTATGCAAAGAAGGAATAAGTATTAGAATGTTAATGAGAAAAGCCTTTTTCAATATCATTGTATAATATGGTGCGTGTTGCATATAAAAATATAAAGACTTGCAATTTATATTTATCCACACTATATGTTATATTACCTGCACTCTACATTAGGCTAAATAGAGTACTAGATTTAGATGCTCAACTTCTAATGTTTCGAGTGATTCATCATTCTGTCCAAATTTCTTTCAATTTATTACCTTTATTATCAAAATGACTCAACAAAGTGATGAGCATAATTAAATTTTGTTGATTAGTTTATTAGTTTATTTATTTTTATTTACAAAGATCCAGTGTGCACCTTACAGAACCAAGATCGTGGAAGTGATATCTAGATAGGTTCTAAATTCAGTATTTCATGTGAAGTGTAGTCACTCACTCAGGAATGAACTCAAACTTCAGCACTTGGCTTCAAAAGAGTTCTATCATTGCACCAAAGAATGGCCCTTTTCCAGTTTAAATATCATCTCACTATTCTGTGTGGTCCCTTAATTTGATATTAGGTAGGAGCAACTTCATAAACATTTACCCTTTTCCAAGGAGAGCAGGCGTTGTTAATTGAAGTGGAATTTGCACTGGTGCTTGCCAATTTGGAGCTAGTTCTGTACTATAAGTGGGATAGGAAACATAAACTCCTGAACTTTGGTCATGATTGGTCCCTGCCATTGGATTGAAGCTTGGATATGGTTGTGGTTGCCCATCTGTCTGTGAGGAGCAACAACATAATAACAGAAAGAATAAGGGATTAAATGGTGAAACCATGGTTCGGAACGATAGAATAACAAAAAGAAGTGCACCCAGAAAAAAATTCCATACATTTCCAGAATTTAATCTTTTGTTCTCCCAGTCCTGGAAAAATTCTTGAGATGCCAATCGCTTTGTTCCCACTGTGTTGTGTTAGAAAGGAAGAATAAAATGAGAGTATAGATAAATCACAACAAAAAAATACATTCATCATTTGCTTGCTTTTTCCTTCCAGTCATAATAGATAAACAACATGCTGTGCAGTGTTTCCAGCATAATTGCTAGCTGTTATGCAATGAAAAAAACAAATGAAGCATACCTGGTGGCAAAGAAGCATTGCACTTTTTGCACTGCAAATTCACCCAAAATTGCATCAGATATAAGATGATATAATCCAAAATGGAAGTGAATATCTGATAATAATTGGGGAACATGATAATACCTGTGCACGTGAAGAGTAATTGTGGAAGCCACAATTGCATAGCCAGTCACCATTTCGCCATCCTTTAGGAATTGGAGGAGGAGGTTGATTTAGAGGGTTTGCATATGGATGTCCAGACATCTGTTTTCCACCCAAAGGCCAAGTAGAGGTCTGCTGAACTCCATAATTATCAGCCCCTCCTCCAGACCAGCTTGAATTCAAGGGTACTGGTTGCTGGAGAGCACCATTGCCCTCTAATCCAATATTCAACCTTTGGTCTGGTCCTCCAGGGCTCCTGGCAAAATAATGTGAATAAGTTGGGAGAGACACTCCAGGCATTGCAATTGCTGGCATTGCCGCTACCTCCTTTGGTTGCCCACACTTCTTGCACTTTTCTCGTGATGCATAATTGTTGTTAGTGCAACCTATTGATCCATTGCCCAACACACACGCAACCCACATTGCAGCCATGAAGATGGAAATGAAGCCATGTACACGCACACCAACCAGTCCATCCCAATATACCAAAAAAAAGAAAGAAAAACACACACAAAACAAAAACCACTCAACCTAATTGATAGCAAATTCATCTCAATCACACAAAACATAACAACCACTTAATCATTACTTTTTATCAACAATCGCTAGAAAGGGGAAAAGAAAAGACAAAGATATCACAAAAGAAGATGAGAGAACGAGCAAATAGCACACAAAAAATATATTGGAATCGAGTCCCAAAACTTCAAAAAGCGAGTCTAAAATATCAACCCTATTTCTCCATCTACAGGTTAGTCATAAAGACTAGTTTAAATTGTCTAGCTATTTACCCCTGAATAAGAAACGCGAGAAAACAATTCAACTACCTAGCAATCCCTTGAAACCTAAACCCCAAAACACCAACTCAAGTCCCCAAAACCAAACTATCCACGAAGAAAAAACCTCAAAACCCAAAAATATCAATACCCTATAACAGAAAAATAAAGTCCCACCTAACACCAATAATCAGATGTTCAAATCTTTAAAACACCGCATCCATAAAAAAAAAAAAATGCTTGATAAATATCCCAACACCCCATAACAAGAAAAATGACAATAAACACCAATTTTAAAAGGTACAGATCTTCAAGACATGTAACCAACATAAAGATGCTGATATTTATAAAGCAAACGTAGATTAAGGGTAACTAACCAGTGCAGATCCAATCACCAATACGAGGGAGCCATTTAGAGTCAGGTGGGGTTTTGTTATCGACAAGAAGTCGAGGTTGTTTGCATCTATTGCAAAAAGATCTAAACGCATAGTTCCTGTTTTGACATCCACTGCACTCCCAATCCCCTTCTCTTCCTTCTCCCATATTCTCTTTCTTGGTGATGCTAAAAGGAAGAAGAGAAGAAAGGCTTTGATTTTGTAAAGAGGACTTCTTGTGTTAGGACATAACCCGGTCTTAGCTTGTTAAGTTGTCGTCACAGAGAAGAGAACTTGTGTTATTGATTCGATGATATATTTTGGGGTTTGGCCAGCGAAGAAAGGAAGAAATCGCCGATGTCAAGAGGGCAAAACTTTTGCACGTGTGAATTTGTGTTTTTCCTTTGGTGAACTATTAAATTTTAAAGACAATGCGTTCGTCCCAACCAAGACTGGAGGGATGAATGGGCTTTAGGGCCTAAAAGGAATAGTGACCGACATGAGAGGCTAGGTATTGTGGAAAAAATATTTTTTTGTTAAAATTTTTGTTTAAAATTAATTTTTAAATTATTTTTATTTATTGAAGTTAAAAATAAATTTTAAAAAAATATTATATTAATATATTTTTAATTAAAAATACATTAAAAATAATTATTATTACAATCTAATCTCAGATACAAATATTAACTTCATTAAAAATAAATATTCATACTTTACTTTATTATGATCCAATAAAATAATAAACGGGTATAGGTGACACAGCTTTTAGAAAGAAAATTAGCTTTTAGAAAGAAAATTAGTCGGTGGAGATGAGATGAAATTAAAAATATATAAAATTAAATTTTTTTTAAAAAAAATCATTTTCTAATTGAGTCATGTTCAATTAAGCTATTCATATTTAAATTTGTAAACTTACATTTCATACAATTTTCTCTTGAAAGTAATAATATAAAAAAAATCAAAGTGATTTTAGATAATTTTTCCACGTGAATGAAT